GGGGGGGGGGTATGAAGACATCCTGTTAGACTTGTCTGAAATCTCATCAAAGCTTCAGTCAGATATGATCTCCATATCAGCATGCCGTGAAAAAGTAATAGTTTAGAACCAGAAGTAATATTCGGTAGAGCCAAAACCCATACTCCATTAGTTATCATTAAACGGGACCCACATTCTTAAGTAGTACCCAGGCGTAAAACTAGCATAGTGTAAACAAAGATCTAGAAGCCAACACCAACACCAGCACTACACTTAGAATCTAGACTTAAACTGATAATGAAACTGCACGGCCCCTCTCCTCCTTAATTTTCTTTTAAAATTAACCCTTTTGTTTCCAGGAGTTATACGTTCCTAATGTCAGCTTTGATTTTCAACTAAGCCCATTACACAGCAGTCTCATGTCTCAGGGTTAATGAACGCACTATTAAGATAGATAGTGAGTCTCAAGAATCCCATAAAGTGCAACTCTCAACCATCCCCCTTGAATCAATGGTTTAGCAAGACACAGCAACAAGATATGATTTACATGCTGACTTGTAGTATTTCAGAGTTTATTTTGACAAGTCTAATTATAGGTCTATTATTTAATTTTTCATAGATAAACTTTAACAAACAATAAAATGCAAATGCCACTATGAAAAAAAAGCTGACAATGTAATATTCCCATGTTTTATTCTTAGTACAATTTATACATTTTATTGTACACATTCAATTAATAAATTTTAACGCTTTTTTGCAAATTATCGTTGAATTTTTGCCTTTGAAAAGAGGAATGATAAAACCAACAACATTGTTAACATAAAAGACAGATCTTTTGAACATTAATTTCATCTTTCATCCTGCCAGACTTCGAGCTGCCACTGTATTACTTATTGGACTGAAGGGTCTGGGAGCAGAGGTGGCCAAGAACATCATTCTCTCTGGCATCAAGGCTATTACACTCATGGATCCTCAGGAGGTACTGCACATATGAATACCTATACTGACTCTTTTCATTTTCTGCAAGAAGATTTCTGAAAGTGTTTTTACATCAGATTAGAAAACAAACTCATTTTTTAACTCTGAGTAGCTTCGCACAGTGGCTGAATTACTTTTCCATATACTTTAGCTGTGTTTACATGAGTTGTCACTAAAAAAAGAGACAGAAAACTATCCATATAACTTTTTCAAGAAGTCAATGTAAAACTAAAGCATACACTCAAATTTGCTTTTGACATTATATCCACATCTTTCCTATATCCAACACTTTTTTTCATTCTTTTGCCCATTTGTGTTGGACAAATAATGTTAGGTCTAAGCAGAAGACAGAACAATAATAATGCTGTTACTTTTTTTTTCTTCATGTATAATATGTAATGAACTTTTTATATTTATAGACCAAAATCCCAACATTCTTCTATTCGTTCTTGACACTTAATTACTCTGAAGAGAATGTGCAATGTGCAAAGAAAAGATGACACAAGCTACCAATGACATCAGGAAAGCTTCAACAAAATGAAAGCACATTTAACAAAGTGTGCTTCAAGCTCATTAAAGTTACAAGCAAATAAGTCTGTCAGTCTGTGCTGTTTTCTGTAATTAAATTTTAAAGGGGCTTTTTTTTGTTGCTTGGAATATATTGATATATTTCCAATTCATGCTTCTCTGAATGGTGCACTTACATACATCTCTTCTAATGAGTGTATTCCGCACTAAAAGCCGAGTAAAACTCATAAATGAATTGAGACCTCTTCCCCCCCCCCCCCCCCCCCCAAAAAAAAAAAAAGTCAACCAGTTGTAAGGTTTTGAAAGTTAACCATAAGGCTTTGAAATCATTTTACTCAGACATTCATATCCATTATTATTTGTCAGGCCCTATATATTGTGTATAAGTTGTGACTGAAATCAGTAGCAAGACATAGTTAATAAATGTCCTTATCGATTTTCTTTCAGATTGAGGAGGAAGACCAAATGTCTCAGTTTTTTGTGTCCAGCTCTCCAGTTGGTCAAAACGTAAGAATGAGACATCTGTGTTGCAAATAACCAACATTAAAAATGAAATTTCAAGTATTCTATGTTTGAAAAATGTTTAATGTCACAGTGTTCATTCTACGTCATCCTACTTCTATAGTTGTAAGCCTATCTCCATATCATAACAGACTACTGCATGGTATGTATTTATACACGTTTTAGCCCATGTAAGGTTGGATGGAGGTATTAATATCTGTCCTTTTCTGAGGCTCCTAAATTTATTGCTTTGTAGCTGATTTTTATTTGACAATAGTAGAGGCAGTGAGGTTCTGACTTTTGACATTGAAAGGTGGGCACAGCTTACAGCTGACCACTGTTATAGAGTGATGGTGTGAAAAAAAAGTACACACTCTTGTGGTTGTAGTAGTGCAATGAATGAAAGTGTGATGTGTGTGACCATCTGGCCTTTTTTTTCCCTCAATTCTTTTCTTTCTTCTCTTTTTTTTATTGAAAGGGGAGGGGGGGCAGGAATGAGTTTGCATTTTTTTATTTTTAAGTAGGATAGAAGAAACTGTTTTATTTGATCACATATCTTTCTATATGTGGTTAGGCTACCGGACTCATAATCGTGAGGTTGCAGGTTTGGGGGTTCGAGCCGCGGGCCCAACGTTGTGTCCTTGGGAAAGGTACTTTACACCAATTTTCCCCACTTCACCCAGGTGGGAATGGGTACCCGGCCATAGACAGCAAAAGATCTTGTCAGTATGTTAGTGTTTTAGTGCCTATAAATGGCTGCTTGCACTGTAAGCTTCCCAGGAAATTGAGGTTGTTTCAGAATGCTCTCAGGTCTGCTGGGGTAATAGTATAGATTGTGAAGCGCATAGAGCTTGCTGTTTAGCGAGGATTTGCGCAAAACTTATACTATCTATTATTATTATTTGTTTTATTTTAAATTTATTCAAGCTTTCTGTGAAATCAGCTATGTATCAATCAATATTAATTAAGTTTGTTCTCGTTATCAACCCCTAGGTTATGTGTAAGTGCAAAACTTTTCAACCCTAGTCTATCAAAAGAAACAGTTGGTTCTTTTGTCCTAATCTCTTCCTCTCGTGAATTTTCATAGAGAGCAGAAGCATCAGCAGCTCCTGCACAGTTGCTCAACCCTATGGTAGCTGTGAGCACAGACAAGAGTAACCCAGCAGACAAAGATGACAACTTTTTCACCCAGTTTGACGTCATCTGTGCCACATGCTGTTCCACTACCCTTATGTGTCGACTGGATCGCCTTTGCTTCCAGAACAATATCAAGTTCTTTGCTGGCGATGTTTTTGGCTTCTACGGCTATTCCTTTGCTGATCTGGGCACACATGAATATTTGCATGAGTAAGCCTGTCAGTGGGTTCACATTGATAAAGTTTTTTTTTCTTGTATGATTGTGTTAGAAGAGGTGTATTTTTAAAAAGCAATATGTGTTTATGATTTGATGGTTACATTTTTTGCTGTTGCACACAAATGACCTGAATAAGATTCCCGCATGGGAACAAAATTTGAGCAGCGACATAAGAGACAAGGATATTGCCTTTTTGGCAAAGGACCCTCTCTAATAATAGTATATTTTCTACATTCATTGGGACTCCCCTTTATATTCCATTGAGTTATACATCATCATCTAATTTGCAAGGATATGTAATGCTTTGTTGTTGGGGGGGGGGGGGGGTGTTGGACAGTATCAAAGATTCTGTATAACAAGATGGTTCACTCCTCTCTTTGAACCAATTAAAAAGTGTCCTCAAAATCCAGTGGCGCCCTCTTCGAAAAAACGTCAGCTTTGCAAACAGAGTTACCCTACTTGTGTGGGAAAAAATCAAAGTGAAACTAACAAGTTTTGTATAAATTAGAATAAAAATTTCGGAATAATGCCTTTTTAAAATGGTTACGTTGGCCAAAATCCTCTGCGGGTGAAAGGGGCGACTTTTCGTCGTTTAATTTGGCTTTAGAATGAGAGGCGAGAGGTCATTATAATAAAATAAACCCAAAACTCCGCACTGAACAAACCGGAACCACTGATGCGCAAGGGGGTGTTATTCCTATTCCTCTTCTGGAGAAACAAAAGAGAGCTTCAAAACAAAGACTGCAGCGCCATCTGAACCGATGCGCGGACTTCTGCAAACACTTTTTTGGCTGAGTGAATCATCTTATCATGTAGAATCTTTGACAGTATTTTGAATATGAAGTGTCTGAAAACATTTTGAACTATTTGAATCTACACCTGTTGTTTTTCTTTATATTCCCAGACAAGAAAAAAAAAAGAAGCCGAAGGAGGATGAAGACGGATCCAAGGAAGAAGAGACTGAGACAACTGTTACCAAAGAAGTGAGTTCACTAATATAACCAAAGTAAGCTTCTGTACTTACTCTTCAGAGGTCTGAGTCATCTGTCAGGCTTTGATTGTTATTGCCAGGAATGAAAATCTTTGTCTTTGGTTCAAGAACACACACTTGTTCAGTTTGGATTCTTTAGTTATTTCCCTTGTTTATCATACCTGGCAAACCATCGAGCCCCTGAGGCAATACAGAACTTCCTGTTCTTTTCTAAAAAAACAAAATGGCCGCCACTTTCCATCTTATAATTTTCTCTCTTTACACATTTATTACAATAGTTTCACTCTTTTTATGTCTCAAAGAAACTAAACCAAGCTCTTAGATCTACTCTTCTCCTCTTCTTGTCGTTGTATGGGGTTTTAGGTGTTCCCGGTGGCTCTAATACAAGAAAGAAATTCAGTGCCTCGACAGCTAACTTTACAGGGAAATTGTTCGTTTTCAATTGTGTCCTCTGTTCTTTACAGAGTTTTCTGGGTCACAAGGATAGTTTTCCCAAGTACTATGTTCATTACTCAATCACTGTGTGTGAGACCCTAGTGGGGGAAGCTCCCCTGTGCTCAGATTTCAGTGAAAGTATTCAGCCTGCCAAGTCTAGACTTCCACTGACCAGAACTCTTTTCCCAACCACGTTGTGCCTTTGCAGTAAAGAAATTAAAGGAAAGGAGAATGGGCTGAAGCTACCAGGGTTAAGAAAAGAGTTAGAACAAGGTCTGAGATTTATTACCTTGTGATTGTTATCTCAACTTCCCTGTAGTTTACGGGGTCCATCCTTCAGTGGAAGTGATACCAGATGGCACATTGCTTGAGGTATCTGGTACCTAATGCTAAGAAGTTTGACCCAGAGTTTATAAGAGCTCTTCACACACATACACAAACTCCAAAATGGATCACATTAATGGTAATAACAAGAAGACAAAACAAAATAAATTAAAATATTTATTTCATTATGCAAACTGTTCCAATTTCAGTATAAATTATTCTATTGCTGACATAGAATATTGCACACGAAAGACTGGCAGAACTATATGATAAAAGAAAGCTTCAGACTTCACTCCGAATACTCGTATAAATAGCATTTGTACAGCAATAATAAACTGAGCGGACATAGAAATAAAAGACAAGTAATGGACACAATATTTTGAGCATGGGAAAATATTCCAGAAAATATCCTGAAATAAGTATAATTCTGACTGGAATGTTAATTTGTCTTTGAGAAATTTTGTTGCTTTTCTGTACTGAGTCCAAGAAAGATTTGTGTGTGTTTTGAAAGAAATACCACAGACACTTGACAAGTTTGCTACTGTAAGACTTTCTGCCTCGCTGACATCTGCCTGCTTTTCTGATGGTTTTTAAATCTGTGATGTGTTGTATTTTACCTGAATCTTTATCCCCTCAAATCAAAGTCCTAATTTTAGCTAGTTTGTTTGACCTTTACTTCTTAAATGGCGACCTAGCAAGTAGTGATTTTGTACGAGGCTTTACTAAGTTTAGTGTGTGAAGCACAATGGTTGTCCCCTTGTTCGGAAAACTAACATATCACCATCCTCTGTATTAATTTTACGCTTTGTAAGACGTGAATAAATGGCCTGCTCACTGTCTAGTAGTTCAAGTACAGATTTCTCCAGTAAATTACATTCTGTCATAAATTCAAGCAAAACCAATGCGTTGCTTTTCAAGGGTGATGTACTTGCATCTACATATAATGGTGAAACTACAGATTCAACTGAAACAGATGTGTTGATCTTGAAAGGAGAAATACTTGCGTCCACATTTCATTTTTGTTATGTGGGGTACTAGTTAACAAAAAGTCATAACCAGGAGCTGTTGAACTTGAATGAAAAGAAAAGTCCTCTGATTTTGACATTATATCAGTATTAGCTTGGGATGTTGATGTAGATTCACCCAGACAGCAAGAATGGGATACATACTCTTTATATCTTACAGAATGTAAACATGAGATTGCCCTTGATTTTTTAAAATTATGAAGCTGTCCAAGTAAAATAGACTCAGCTGATTCAAGTTTTATTTGTTATATCACAGGTGGGGCATGGCACTGAATTTGAAATATACATTTTTAAAATAGCTGAAAGACACACCGCACAAAAATAGTGGTTACACTTTGTTTTGACAACATGGTGTGTAAAAAAGGACGAAAATAATCTATATTCAAACTTTTCTTTAAAGGATGGTGGCATGCTCCGCAGACTAAAATGACATTTTTCTTGTTTGTTCATCTTGGGTAAAAAGCTGATAGTGCTATTATCATAAAGAGAACTAAATATATTATCCTGGCTTAAGTTGTAAAGTAAAAATGTTTCATTGTGTGAAAAATCTGGCTTCTTTTTGCGACCCCCTATCCCTTTTTTCTGAGACATTCTACATGTACTACATTGGTAACACTCACTGTTGTAGGGCTCCCAAGAGATTTCTCTAGCTCTCTTTGCAGGCATGTCAGCCATCATTAATATAATCTTTTTTTCCAATAACTGAGCATTGTCCTGTAGCACGTCTGACACATCTTGCTTGGGTGCTGGCCAGGAACGTCATCCTGTACGTTGATGGCGTAAACTGTCCAGATAGAATCCCTGAGGCACTACAGTCCTTAGGCTTGGAAGATTTTGCCCCTATCTTGCTGCCACAAAATCGACATAAAGACTGGAGATTATCCATGTGTTCTCCAAAAGTATGCATACTGGAGACCTGGTATCTGTAAAAAGCAAAAAGTAGGCAACTATCAGTGTCTGTGTACACCATTTAGATAAGAAGCAAAAAGAAGGGTTGATACTTTCAATAAAGGTGGAGCCAAAAATCTAATCTTGTTCATATATTGTATTTACTTCTTTCTGTCATAGTAATTTATACAGGTATGACAAAACCACGTAGATAAAGGATTTCAGTCTCCTCATATTAATAATAACATTAATTGTAACACAGCTTTCTCTCATGCTCTAATACTATCAACTATTCATCAGAATAATAAGACAATGGAGTAATAAAGTGTGTTTTGTTTATATTGTGCTCATTTTAAAGAATAACTAATTTAAAACAATAACACGAGGGAGCTAGTAACTGCTTTTTACTTACCAGTTTTCAAACGTCCAAACGGTGAATATGTAAGGTCCCTTTTAAACTTGTTGAGAGGTGAAGTAAAGCAGAGGAGAATCAACAACGTTGTCTTTACCAAAACACTGGGAAAACTCTGTGGGACTCACAATTCCTTCACGAAGGTTGGCTTTGTGGCCATTTAGGAGCATGGGAGGGCCGTATAAATCTTGGCCTCGGCAACCCATGTTTAGCCTCCCAGGGGAACAAAAGTCATGACTGGAGTTGTGTGTGGTAGCAAACCACCATCATGAGGAACAGGTAGTAAATATAACGCCGTACTCTCTTGTTTATTAGTCTAAATGAGTCAGCTGTGAAGACACCTTATGTTACAATAATTACTCCCTTGCTGCATTTGAACTGCTCGGTCAGGGGAAATAACCGTAAAAGTGCTGGACTAAAGGGTGAAAAATCTGACCGGCTGAACAAGTGTGAACAATAATATATTTGGTATACTTTCCGTTAGCAATAAAAAATTTGAGACATTATCCTGCTTGTAACAGTAGTGCTCCTTGCATCATTGGTGTCGGGTTGCATCTTTTGGTGTAATTCAAATCAGTATTCTTAAATATCTAATTGCTCTGCATGTATAACAAATTCAAGAATGCACCAAAGTTTTGCTCTACTTTACGTGTCTAACTTTCAATTTGGCTCTTTACATTTGAATGTCAGGACATGGCTCATGGCCAGGAAAAGTAACTTGTGGCTTCATGGGTCACAAGGAAGTTCATTAGCTAGCTACTGGACATACAGTATAACCCAGATAGGTCGAACACAGATTACTCAAAATGACACGTACGTCAAACTGTGCCTTCAGTCCCCTTTTTTCTTCTTCTTTATCTTTGTAAGAAAATTGCTTCAACGTGGAATAGTTGAACTATTATGCCGCCATAGAGGTCTAAAGTCAGTGTCCTTTGAGGTGCAGTTGAGACAAAAAATTATTATTATTATTATTATTATAAAAATAGAAAAGGCAAGGTCGTAAAGTACCCCCCCCCCCCCCCCCCCTTCCGCTGAAGCAGCTAGCTGTGCTTTTTTTTAGCACACTACTCGACATGCATGCCCTCTGCACGTGCCTAGATCCTAGGCCTAGCTAGGCTTGTGTGGAGCAGACAAGAGGAGGGGTTGTGCATCACACGATCGGCTGCCCCACCCCTCTTTGTAAAAGACTGTGGGTTTCGTGGGAGAGGCAAGGCAGGGCTGCATTGTTTAGTCATTGTTTTGTTGATTACAGTTGTGATATTCTTATCTTGTCAAATTGTTTATGTCTTGAAAAATTTGAAAAGACACCGTTCAATTAATGCAGACTAAAGACCGCTCACACTGACTGACCCGTTAAACTATCTTGGTACCTGTGACCTTATTACCGATCGAACTCAAATGCGTTGCTCATCGTGTTTCTTATTTTCAGTCTGTCAATTTCATATTCTCTTTAATTTCAAATTTAAGTCAATAGGCATAGATCTAACCTATCTGACCTAGGAAAATGGCCGAAAAAAGAAAAATCTCTGTTCCAACCCAGTCTTTGTTGCTTCCCTTGATCTCTAACACAACCGATGCCATAACACTGTTCACATATCCCTCGTACTACCGAGGCCGATCCCAACGAATTCGAGCAATCCGTGTTATATTGTATATATATGGAAATGTAGTTATTATATGCGGAGAAGATGTTACATCTTGCTAGTATTTTGATGTGATGATTTTACATACAGTGGAAAGGCACTGATGTTAATTCCTGGATATGTCGTTCTGTAAGCCATTTTGTGCTGTTCATTTTTGCCCTGTCAGACTTGGCCTCTTAATCTTAATAAGATGTGCCAGTGTTGTTTTGCTGCTTCTGTCTTACTCACTTGTGAATCTTGGTATTTCAGAGTATGGTGTTCTCCAGGTTAGAAGACGAGCTGGCATTCAAATGGGATAGTGATATCCCTGGGATGAAGAAAAAACTTCGTTTAACCCCAACTGCTTTTTTCATCCTGAGAGGTAAACAGATGACAGGCAACATAGCTGATCAAGTTCAGATTATTCACCCTGCCAGGCATTGAATATCAATGCTGCTGTCACAGTCACTATTACTCATTATGTGAAGATAGATATTGTGTGCAGTAATGTGCTCTATTTGTAGATAAAGAGGATTCCAGTGTATCATGTGTTACCTGAAGATGTGTATGCATGATAGTTTCATTTGAATAGACTGTTCAAAATTTGATGGAAGGTACCATATAGTTTTTCTTGAATTCTTGATCTTGTGCTATGAATGTTTTATCATTTCATTGCCTGTAGAATTTCTTTTACAAAAATTGCTTTGTGTACCTCAGTAATTTGTCAAGATTCGTTTAGATGAAGTTAAATCCACTTATACTGGTCTGGTAGTTACATCCCAAAGACTAGCTCTTTAACTATCTCTGTATTTTTCTCTTGGCTTTCCCTGTGAATTAGACATGCAATTAAATCTTTGGTGTCGTTGGTTTCATTTTTGAACTTCTAGATGGACACTCTTTCTGGAGTTGTTCATGTTTTGCTATGTTAATGTTTCTGTTCTAGTTTTGCTTTCAACAAGTATATTAACATAAAAGATAGAAAGGGAATGAGAGAAAGTGGGTCAGGGAAGAAATCAGGTTTGAGGTCACAGTATCAGGAATCTGGTATTTTTAGTTAAAACAAGTTTTTCATTCTTAACTGAAGTACCGTCATTGTCTTTGAAATAAGTTGGCATTGAAATTGTTTTTTCAAAGTAAACAAGAAAAAGAGAGTTATTCTTAGTGGCTTTGAATGTTGCGCTATAGTAACAACTCTAATTTTCAGCACTTAATTGACCTATTTGTGTTGCAAGTGCTGTAAACAGGTCACTACGATGTTCTTCTTGTCTTGGCCAGTGTATCAAGAGTTTGTTGAGCTGAATGGCCGACGCCCATCGTTGCGCAGTCAGGAGGCTGACCGGAAAGAGCTGGAAAATCTTCGTGTCCAGGTGCTGAATAAACTAGGAGCTCCCGACAAGGTTATCCCAGAGGACTTTTGCGAGTAAGAGGCTGCAGGCTCTGCAATGTTGTTATTTATCTTTGATTATAACTATTTGGGGGGGGGGGGATTTTGTTAATTGATTCAAAGTGAATGACCATTTAAGATGCATTGGACTATGTCAGTCTGTGTTGATATGTGTGTGTGTGCCTATAGAAAGGTACAAAAAGTTACCACAGAGAATTTTTAGCTACAGGCTGATAATGACAAAAAATCACTTTTTGACCTAAATGTGTTTCCATTAAAAAAATGAAAGTTCAACCATTTTTTAACAATGTGTTAAAAGGGTTTTCAACGATTTGACTTCTAAATATTTTATTTAGAATAATTTTAAGGCTAGGGTATTTTTTAAAAGATATAACAAATACTGCTTTTGAAGGTGTTAAAATCTATTCTTGAAGCATGTTTTCTCTTTCCTGCTATGTTTTACCATTGAATTCTAATCATGATATTGATGCCAAATGAATGCAGTGGCGGTGGGTAGTGAAAGGCTCACGGGCTTGAGCCCCTTCCCCCTCCCCACCCACCAACCCCTACTCTATCCCCCAAAGTAAATGAAAGTTTCTCCATAATGAAATAAGCAGTTGAAACCGTTATGACCGCGTTCAATGAACACAGCGTGATCTACTTGGCAGCTTGCTCGTTTATCCAATCACTGTTGTCACCGCTTACAACTAGTAACCCAGCAGCCAATCAAATGTCTTTGGGGCTCAGCAAAGGATGAGCCCTTTACCACAGTCCGTCCTTACTGAAACTTTTCTTGTAAACAAGGTAAAAGGCTTGAAAAAAGAACACTGTACTGAGGGCTCACGCTCTCCTAGCCCTGACAATGGGGTGAAAGTTTACGACACACTTTCCCCCACTGACACAGATACCTATGCGCTCATTGGTTCTTTGTTGGGTGCGTTCAACTTCCTTGACTACTCTGCCTAATCTAGCTCATAGAAGTAATCATGTTTGAAGTGCTGTGTGTGCATGTTTGTGTTTGTGCCGCTGAGATTTAACTGTTATAAATCTGACCAAACTACTTTAAAAGCGATTTTTTTCATCATGTGAAAATTAATTTGAGGAAATTTGGAGGTGAATTGGCTTTGTCCCCACCATCAACAAGAATTTAACTAAAAAGAAAGAGATGGAAAACAAAGGTAACTCTTCTCGTTTGAATGGTTTTCAAAATGCCGTGGCTCACCGTGAATATAGAAAAATCATCAGTGTTTAGGTCTTATTACTGGAAGCAACCTAAGCCCCACCCAAATTTTGGTCCACCCACCGCCACTGACTGAATGTCAAATTGGAAATGAATTTTCCATGAAAAAAATACATTAAAAGCTAATTTTCTCAAAATTAGATCTTTATACCCACTTCGCGAAATGCGCAATATCTAAAAAAAATACTTGAGATATCTCAAAAATTCAAAAACCACTGTTTTCATCATTGAATTTTCTATAAGGTGCAACCCTCAACTCAAAATGGTCAAAATCCGACTTTTTGTACCTTTCTTTGGGCACACCCTCATATGTTCTTTACATGATTATGTTTATGACTTGTATTTGTGGTTCGCTATCACTATTTCAAAATTATTTTTGATATTCTGCTTTTTTTATTTCCCAAAACATGTTTTTAAACAATAAAAAATTATGGCCTCATAATTTTATTTTCAAAATCAAAGTATTTTCTTTAAGAATTTATTTATATTTTCTTTTATTTCAGTTTTGGCTTTGGAGAGCTGAGTCCTGTCTGTGCCGTGGTAGGGGGAGTTCTTGCTCAAGAAATCATTAAGGTTAGTAGCCACCTTTCTGGTCAACACTTAAGCTTTCTCAGATTCAAAGTAATGACTGATAATTCGTATAATTTCCTATGGAAGTTTTAAGAAGATGTCTGTGTTTTGCATGCTGTGACGACTATGGCGTGCTGTGTGGTAAAAGACTTGGTTGTCATACTATAACTATTTAAGTGTGAGTGAGATCAAGATTTTTTGGTGGGTCTTTTTCAACCTATTTCTTAACAGCCAGGTGTTGTACAGGGAATTTTCTTCAAAGTGTTCCTTTCTTTATTTACTGGAGTAATAGATTTCAGCTAAAGACATAGAACAAACAATAACTGACCTTATTTCTATAATGAAAGCTTGTTTACTTTTGCTTATTTTGATTTTTCAGACAAAACAAAAAGCATACTTCGTCCAACAATTACCTTTCAGTAATTATATCATTATTGGACCTTTGGGAGCTTTTTTGAGAAGTTTTAATCTTGATTTTTAAATCATACAGTAGTCTCCACCTAAACACATGCCATGCAAAAGAATGCATGCTTGTCTTATGACGAGTTTTTTACTATATCATTTAGACGTACAAACGCACTGTCACTCCCTCTAAAAGCACGCTTCGGTCCACGAAACACACGACAGGTAAAGCTCAACATGGGAAATTTTCACTATAACCTGCACAGCTTGTATATAAGAAAAGCCTTGACAACAGGATATTTTACGAGACTGCCCCTCGCGCAAAACTAAGCAAGTAATGGACAGAGTTTTCTCTCTGAACTTTCGACGGACACATAGGTCTAGGACTGGTTGGTGATATGTTGGGGGTTGGTGGACTGAAAATGTCTTTTGATTGGTCACTTGAAATATGTCTTTGAGAAAAGGTTTCTGACTGGTGTTTGAGTGACTGCATGTAATGTTTTGTTAGACCAAGGTTTATGATGTGCAACAGGCGTGAATGCTGTAGAACAACGGATAGGCCTCAATATGATTAAAGATTAGTCAAGTAGGCCTAATCAGCTGAGTTTGAAGAACTGATAACGTAGTTGTTCACCGAATCACAACAAAAAAATCTCTTGGAAAGTACATTTATGATTCTGATGTCATCCATGAATTTACCCTTGAGGGTGGTCGCTGGGAAAGCCATGTGGTTGAGCGGTCATCCCTATGACTACATTTATCACTGACAGTTTCTTCTTATCTGATCTGTTCTGTTCCCAACATTCTATGATGCATCTCATTACATTGAATCTTGTCTTTCTCCCCCCACCCCTCACCCCCATTCAACACCTTTGTATTCATAACCGCAGTCGGGTAATCCTTCACAAAACAGTCACGTGTGGTCACATTATCGGCTAAAGTGACCCCCACTCTTCAAGGGATGTCACTAGAATATCAAGGCAATTAGGTGATTGTGTTCCTTCCTCCCTTTGCACAGGTTCATGTAAAGGCACGCTCCGTATAAACGCACGCAAAGGAGCCCTCCCAAGCACTGTGCATTTAGGTGGAGACTACTGTACTAATTTTTTCATTAACATGTATGCATTGTGGGAAAGCACAGTGGCATAAATACGGTTAAGCTAGTTCATCAGTACTGTGTACATTATTTGTTAGCAATAGCCAGCTCACTTAATCAGCTATTGTGCCATTACCTAATATGGCAGCATACTAATGAGTTTTCAGAGGGGGGTCCGATTCCTACTGTTTGTCATTTAGATATTTTATCTGCCTGTGACAGTTTTACTAATGAAGCCCATTCATTTATTCATGTTATTGCCACGTTTCAGGCCGTTTCGCAGAAGGACGCTCCACTCAACTGCTTCTTTTTCTACAACGGTGTGAATGATGACGGAATGGCTGCCAAAGTTTCTACTACTTGAGTTAACAGACTGTCTGAGGACTTGACTGCTCGAACGTTACTTCCTCCGCTTCTCTGATACACAATGACTTGTATTTGTTGTGAAAGTTCGGGGGAACTGGCAATTTTATGGCACTTTTGCAAAGAAAGTGTACTTTTTTAAAATTAGAAAGTGCATTTGTTAAATACAGAAAGCTAAACTGATTGAAATCTATGTACTGTAACATTTCAGTTTCAGCCAGCATTCACATCCACGTGTTGGCCTTCATTATGTATTTACCAGCAGAGATTTGCAGTACACATATAGTTTTCTCATGACTGGGACCAAGTAATAGAAGGCTATTTCTGTACAATGTTCATTGTGTTACTATTGCAGACAGGTTGGTGCTCTGTTTTTTATTTCAGCAATTTTTCTAAAGCCATGATACTTGACTTCTTTGTTGAGGTATTGTTATTTCTTATGTTAATATCTCCAATGAGAGAGAAATCTCATCTTTTTTCTCATACATGTTATCCTTATCATTCACATTGTTGTTTGTATGTCAATAAAAGTTTTTGTACAAGAGTGGTGCGTTAACTGTTGTGATCTAGGGTTCTTTACTTCTCTTTCAGAGCTTCAGGGTTACTTATGTTTTAGTGAGTGATTGGCAGTTGCTCTGGTGTGGTTTGCTCTTTCTTTCCTATCAAGCTCAAACATCTATTGTCCTTATTTATCTCTCTTCTTTCTTTTCTTTGTATGTTACTCTCTAGTATCCCTTCTAATCTTTTGCACATATATATGACCTTATTGGGTTTCAAGTACCATATAAAGGCTTACTAAAGCTAAATTAAACGAGGTCTAATGTAGTAATGTCTGCAACTCGTCTTCAATACTCTTCAAAATGTTCTGCCTGCTTTCACACAGCTGTCAATTGTACACAGTTTTCTGTAGCCTACATGAATATCTCAAGATGCAAGGTGCTCTGTCAAATTTTACTGTCCTCAACATGTGGTACTATGATGCACACCCAAATAGTCCAATATCGTGAACAAGAAATAGCACTGTGGTATATCCTAAGTGAGCTTCTTCAGGAGAAGGAAAAATACTATCGTGCAATATTTTCATTAATTTTTTAAAAATGTTTTGAATTCAAATTCGTTATTGAGTAATAATGCTACTACTTGACCATCAAAATTGTGTGATGCACCTCATTCTACAGATATTCACTTTTATATAAATGTCTGAAGAGTCTCAGAACTTTGACAAGCACTGGTGTAAAACATACGTAGGAAAGCTTTGTAAATCTCCTAAGTGTTCGTCTGGAACTGCATGTGTAAGTGAATGAAATTCCTTCAATTTTTTCTTAAATTGCAGGTGGTCCAGTGGTTAGGCTTTTGGGCTCGCAGCTAAAAGATTCTGGTTTCAAACCCTGTCAGGGACCTGAAATAGTGTCTTTAGGAAAGGTACTTGACACAAATTATAATCCCTTTACCCAGGTGAATGTGTACACGGCTATAAACAGGGAGCGATTTTGTTAGTGTTTGGGCGCTTAATTGGCTGTTTGCACTGTATGCCTCATAGGAAGTCGACTGTTGGAGTAATATATATCTAGATTTTAAAGTTAAAGTGCATCCAGTGTGCTGTTGAGTAGAAATACGTGCTATATAAATAATAGTTATTGTTATTAGATGTTTTTACGTCCTGATCGACAGTCTAGATTACTTAGGAGACGTGCTATATATATAGGCCTACAGTCAAACCTCCTCGTACCGGTCCCTGTTATTCCGTCAGAACCACTTGACACCAAGTTTTGCCTGTGTATGGAAAGGGGCGCCTGTATAAACAGTATTTTCGCCTTCACACTCCGTCTACCGACTGTCTGAGTTGTACAGTCCTCAACTTAAGGTAAATTTGCCCCGCCCTGCCGCCAGAGGTACACCCAATGCACAACACCTACTGGTTGGCTACTTGATAATCCTTCTCCCACGAGAAAGACAACAGAGAGAGAGAAGACCTGACTTTGAATACATGTATATCACGAACAAAAAGGCAGTTTTCAAACACAGATTTCACAGCAGAATCATGCTCGTTGGTGTTGGGCAGTCGGGGCTATAATACGAGGGCCGTCCCACGGAAGACCAGAATTTGGCTGTAATTTGAAAACTATTCAATATTTTCACATCCTGTAAATGCACACTTGTAAAACAATCATTTAGGAATTTCCCAATTGAGCACCATGAGCATCGCACAAATCAAACGAACACAGCAGTTCTCCAAAGATGGCTACCCCCTTGGAAAATTAGTCAAGGGTGGAAGTGAGGTCTGTCTATCGGTTTCTGACTGCAAAAGGTCTCAAACCTATAGAAATACACACTGAAATAAAGTCAGTTTATGGGGAGAAAGTAATGGCAAAGTTACAGGTATATGAGGGGTGTAGTAAGTTCAAAGCCGGGTATACGGATATCAATGACAAAGTTCACCCGGGACCTTGTTTTTCTGCCAAGACTGAGGACAACAGGAGTCGCGTTAACGAATTCATTTAAACAGACAGGCGCCTAAAAATTCGCGAAATTTCCAAGCTGCTAAACATTTCAAAGAGGACTGTCCATAGGATAGTGTTTGATGAGCTGCACTATAGAAAGGTCTCTGTTCGACGGAACCCAAAAGAGCTGACAGCTGACCACAAGACGCAACGTGTTGAAGGGTCTCAGACTTTGTTGATTCGTTGTCGCCAAGCTGTCACGGGAGTCATGAACGCATCTGGAGACCTCCAACAATATGATGAAGCATTCCTGAGAAGCGTTTTTACTGGTGATGAGACTTGGACTCACCACATGACCCCTGAGACGAAGAGGGATTCAATGGTTTGGAAGCACACGTCTTCATCTCCCCCAAAAAAGTTTAAAAGTTCAGCCATCAGTGAAGAAACTCATGACCACGGTTTTCTGGGATGCTAAGGGTGTTCTGCTTCTTTACATCCTGGAACCAGGACAAAAAAAAATGTTAATGCTAACAGATACTGCCAGACTCTTGATAAGCTGAGTCGAGAGGTCGTACGCCGAATAAGACCGGGACGGTTCTCCAGCGGGGTCATTTTGCAGCTTGACAACGGAACGCCACACACCGCAAACGCGGACTGGATCCATAGCTTCTGGGAAGTTCTGCCACACACCCCTCACCGTCTTGACTTGGCTCAATCAGATTATCACCTTTTTGGACAAATGAAACGCCATATTTCTGGACAGCGATTCACCGACGACCAAGACCTCGTGGAAGCCGTGAAAGATTGGTTGAAATCCCTTGACGAAGAATTCTTTAGGTAGGGTATCTTCTCCCTGATCCAGCGATGGAAAAAATGCGTCCAGGGGATGGTGATTACATTGAGAAATAAAGCACATGTTGAGCTATGATGTGTTTCATTTTTTAAATAATAGGACAAAGATTTTTGCTTTTATGGACCGTTTCCGGTTTTCATGGGACAGCCCCCGTACAACAGAAAAACCTTGTTGAAGTGCTAGCCCCGCTGTTCGTTCGGCCAATGTCATGCTCGTCCCGAGGGTGGCGATCAGTGACGTGCTACTTCTCTTACAGTACGTCACTGGTGGCGATATAACGAGGTTTGGCTCTAACGTAATACGCTACATGTAATTCTGGTAGCGCTGGGCTTTACGTCACATTTTGAAGAATCTATACTCTTCAACTCTTAAAACTGAAACGAAGTTAGCATTTAATTATACAATTCCTAAGAGTATTTTTTAAAGTAGGCCTAGAGATTTTACGGCGCTCGCAACTGCATAAGGTCATATGAGCGCCAATCCTAAGAGTATGACGGAGCCGGGTTTTCGCGATTTGTTTTTTAGCCTTACAAATTTATAAAATATAGGGTTAATCTCTTGTTTCGTGAGGAAATACTCCAGAATTCAGCCATTCCAAATATATCTAAAATTTTGACTGTCCGCTCTTCAGTTTTGATTCAAAGCTGCATGGCCAAACGTAATACTTAGTGTGTTAGTGGTCTCTGTTTTTAGCAGCTTTTGATAACTCTACCTCATTTTACTTTTAACCTACTTGCTCTACCTCGTTAAAAAAATAATACAGGGCCCAACAAAATGGCTGCCAGTACCTGCAATGATGTTTTGATTGTCTAAATTATTTTTTTAAATGTTGTGTATATTTGTGCATTAAGGTATTTGTTGATTATGTAGATCTAGGTCTTTATAAAACCAAGTCCCCAACGACATCGATTAAGTTTTTTTTATGTTTTAATTTTTATTAAGTTGATGTATTCCACAGAAGTGACAGCAAGACTGTCGTTAGTCGCGACTATAGCGGCTGTCAAAAATAAAACATGATCTTAAGAAAAAGAATCAAAACAAAACAAAACCGCGTGTTTGTTGAACACGGCATGAGAGAGAAATAGGGTGGGTGGGAGTGGAATGGTGTTTACGTAATGGTGCGGGTAGAGAAAAAAAATATGCTCCTCTCGCTCAATAAAAGGTTCTTTAAATATGAGAGCACCGTAAAACTCTCCCCTTAAAACATATACGCCCCAACCGAAACAAACTAAACCATTTAGGAGGCAGACTTCGACCCTGTCTCTCAGAGACAACCGGACTGAGTAAGAAGATACATCCCTGTAGAAAGAATGAGATATCTATTTTTTTTCTTCTCCCCACACGGTAATCAAACTCGGATCCGCTGCATGCTATGGCAAAGCGCCTAATTAATGATACATGTATACCACAACACCACAGACGCCGGTCGAAATACCATTTTCTGGGATTGTTGGTCTGTTGGTAAATGAATGAATGCGTAGGATAGATCAAGATCAGAGTTTACCAACCGTGGCGATTTGGCAATGTTGGTGGGCAGTGCACATGGGGATCACCCAAGGGATCACCCGAGTACATGTAGCACATCGAATGTCGACAGGTATCTGAATGCCCCGCTTTGAAATAAAAATATGTAGGTGGGCGGTGCGAACCTTTTAGTTTCTTAAATAATATGTGGCAAAATTGAGCGCTTGCTATAAAGTGGTTAACAGCCAATGGCGTAGATGTACAGTAACAGCAAACAGTAAACTATATGTACCATCTTATGACATCGCAGCACATGTGTATGAAGGGCAGATGATGGTAAATACACTGTACTTGTACATTTACTTCTTTGTGTTAAATGCAGCAGAGATTATTGCAATACTGGCGAAGCATAAAGGCAAGTGAAGGGTCTTGCTCGCCACTCCCTGTATCTGGCCAGGAGTCAAAGCATTTATTTGAGAATTTCTATTTGCCGGTCCATTAATCGTTGATTAGACCAAACTGTTGCTCAATACCCCCCCCCCCCCCCAACCCTACCCCAACCCGTCCCAAGTCTCTCTTTCTCTCTCTCTCTCTCTCTCTCTCTCTCTCTCTCTCTCTCTCTCTCTCTCTCTCTTTCTCTCTCTCTCTTTCTCTCGCTGTCTCTCTGTCTTTATCTTTCTCTCTCTGTGTCTCTCTCCATCTCGAAGTCTCTCCCTCTCCCCCCTCCCCTTTCTCTCTCTGTCTCTGTCTACTGTCTCTGTCTCTCTCTCTCTCTCTCTCTCTCTCTCTCTCTCTCTCTCTCTCTCTCTCTCTCTCTCTATCATCTCACCTCCTCTCCCTGCAAAATTGTACACAAGGAAATAAATACACTAATACCTCTTCGTGAATAGTGCTAAAGTAATAGCTTATATGACCTACTCTATGTAGACCCAAACACCAGTCACAGTGCTCCGGTATCTCTCCAGTTACGCCACGAATGAGAGAATTGACAGATGGGGAGTTATAACATGTCCAGAAGTCAATACAATTAGTCGCCTTCTGTGAACGTTTGAATTCTGCAGCATTAAACACTGTATTAAAAATTGTTTACACTTTTCTAATGGGAAAGCCTACTGCTATAATCTGTGCGTAATGAGTGGGTATGGGATTTGTCTTATAGGACACTGAGTTATAAATGTATTGTGTTGCGTCCTTTTCTGCTTTGATTTGTCTCTGGCTTATTTCCTGACCTATGAATCTGACTGACATTGAATGGTCCTGATGTTCTTCTTTCTCTCTGTTGTAACTACACGTTTGTTTTGTTGATGTTTTTTTTTTTTTTGGGGGGGGGGGGAGGTTTTGCTTTTTCGTTGAAGAAATTTTAAACTATAGGCCTACTTTCAATGTTCAGATTGATATTAGTCTATAACCTCGTTTTACTATTACCGAGACCAAGTTCATGATTGGTGGAAAGATTGAACTCTAAACATTTTTCTCAACCACTGTTAAGTTCACTTCTGGTAATGTCTCCAACGTAACATCTATAAGTGAATATGAAGATGGATTTTATATTGTCTATAGTTCGTTCAAACTTTTGTTTCAAATACAAACTATAAGACTAACAAAAAGAATTAGGACGTTGTGTGTCTTTTGAAGGATCAAGATTAGGAATTTTACTAGGACGTGTTTAGTTCTCTCTCTCTGTATAAAAGTTCGCGCTTTTTAGTTAGAGTTAATGCAAGGCATTCGTAGGTCCAACGAGAGATCTTATATTTTACTCGAAAAACATACAACAACACCAACCCCCCCTATCAACACTGGATAGGGCAGTTCAGCGATGAGACGTTCAGGAAGCTATTATGATAATAAAGCGAAAAGTGCATAGCACGATTCAATTAAGGAATGAGAACGAGACTCGCGGATGTACGTGGAATGATAAACAAAATGGCGACTACCGACTCAGAACAAATTACCAACGGGATAGATAATCTGAATGTTGATAATGCCACTGATTCAAATGCTAATCCGCCCCCACAGTTAGACGATGAGTTCCAAAAGAAGTGGGGCCTTCCTGTACAGGAGGTTTACAAGATTGCTGTCCGGTTTTTCAAAGGTAAATAGGCTCTTTATTACGTTTAAAAATAGTAGGAAGCCGTCAAGACTCTGTGATTGAGCTGGATCGTAATCGTACAAAAGAAGACTTGTTGATTTTATGAAAAATAACGGTAATAAAGGCAGCGAAGTCTGCGTTATAAGCTGATAGCTAGATCTAGATCTAGAGAACGAGGACAACTTACCGCCATTGGCCAATATTTATAGAGTATCAAACAGCCATCTTATTTGACCTCGCAAGGGGGATGCCCGCCGCGTCTTCTGGTGACTGATCGTGATCCACAAAAAATTCAGTGATGATTTTGCGTACAGTACGTCGGCACCCTACACTAGAATCTAAATTTCTCGAAAGAGAAGGACCTCCGTTACGAGTGACCACCCCACCAAACACAATAAAGAAGAGGCCTAGACCTAACCCTAGATCTACCCCTAACTTAGCCTAACCCTACCCCTAATCCTACCCCTACCCCTACCCCTACCCCTACCCCTACCCCTACCCCTACCCCAAGCCCTCAATTCTGCTCTGTCTCATAGTGGTTGATCGTTATGGAAGTCCTCCCCTCGAAAGACATGAAATCTGTCGATCAAGTGCACTGCGTCGTTGAACTTTAAAAAAATTTGCTTTCATATATTTTCTAATTGACGTAGGCCTACTCTTCTTCTTCTCAGTTTATAATGTAGTGAACAGCATCAGAATCAATCTGAGCGGAAAAAGGTTGCTGCACAATCACAGTAGACAACTGAACTGAACAGTTAGCAAGTTGCAAAGAAAATATTCCAAGTCGGCTGGCTCCCGTTGTGCGGTCGTGTTGCCACCATACTGACAAAGTGGTAATCCCTCAATGAAGTCAAACAAGATTGCTGTTACTTAGTCAATTGGGCTTCCGCGCATGGCGAAAATTTGGTCACCGTTTGCGGATGAATTTTTGGACTGGGTCGGAATGATACTAATGATAGACTTACTAATTTTGTCGAGCTCGTTTTGCGCTATTTCTGGACCAATGGGAATGAAACTTGGTAACCAATTAGAAAATAGCGCAAATTAATGTTGTATCATGTTGGAAGTCAAGTCTTACTCATAAATTAACCTATACTTTTGGTGTCGGAAACACTTTCGTATCGGGTACGCCGAAAACTATATTATAAGGGGAGTTCGATATTCAACGCCGAGATGGTAAGAGATCCATCTTTCCTCTATAGTGTGTTCAAATTTGAACCTTTTGTGTCAATTAGTTGTGCTGAATTTATCATATATATATGCATGACTACCCCCCTGTCCAAAGCTGCTTCGCACGGAGACCGGCCATTTTCCCCTCACTCCCTTTGCAAATGTCTGTGACCTACAAATCCCCGCATGACCATTCTGAGCCCGTTCATTGGTCACTTGAAATAGTAATAGGGCAATGGTGGGCGCGCGCATCCGGTTGTTTTTCTCTGTTCCTTTGTTACATCGCAATGGGGGTATTCCGAGGCGAGCTTTTCTCGCCTCGGGGTGTTCATGTCTCAACGGGAAAAAGGGGTTTTAATTGAACAGCATGCTAGATTGAATTGAATTATATTTTATGGTTGGCGTGGTCTAAAGTCATCAAAGAAATCTTTTGCCATTATTTAGTCACGCTGCCAACATATATATTCTTAAAGATCCCATGTTGTGATACGATGCTATAAAAATAAATAAAATGGACTCATCCTGATACCCCTTTATCGCAAAATCGTATATATGTACACCAAAATTTAAATTATAAACAAAATAACTACGACATCATTAGTAAATCTGACGTCAGAAATGATTTTTCCACCCGAAAACTCATCGGGTAGCAAAGTTTCTTTCGATAAGACTCTGATTAATTACTCAGATATCGTCTATTATCTTACAGAATCTGCTACTGCGTGGTCCACTTTTCTGGAGTATTTTCCTATATGTGGGTGATGCATATTTTGCCGACCTTTACAACCCAATAACTTTTTTATTTAATAACCGATTCTTAAAATTTAAGAAGCATAATTCTTAGAATTGAACATTCTTTCTTAGGTACCAAATAAAAGAAGGCTAAAGCAAAAAGTTTAACTTTGATTGGCATTGCTATGTTACTATAAATATTGGCCAATAGCGTCTAGTTGTCATTCTCTAGCTATCCGCTTGTGTCTGCGTTTGAGTTTGTGCAGGGAATAAGAGCAATCCAGAAGGGAAAAAAATCGAGAGACTAGTTTTTTTTGTCAGTAAGTATTTAGACTGAAGATCTAGGCCTTTGTTTACTTTAAAAATATTTAGACTAAAGAGCTCTTTATGACTGATTGAATCCATATTTTGATCATATTATAATATATGTCTTTATATTTGATTGTCAGTGAAAGTGGAATGCAGGACTTCAATTTTGTGGTTGAATTCATCAATCACTGGTGAACTGGTTAGGTGCAACTACCCAACAAGACAACAATTATGATTATGTTTTGGGCCAGTGCTGGGGCATTTGGGAGAGACAGGATAAAGGATTGTCATCTTCATGGGTGGCTGATAATCTTTGTACCATTCTATGGTATTATAGATTTGCCTGCGCTAGACTGCAAATTCTGCATCAAGGGCAGTCCTTCAACCACACACTAAAAATTCAAAATCATGCAAGAATTAAATAACTGAGTAACGCATGATGCCCATGCTACAAGCTGAGTGTGGAGGAAAGTCCTAACTTTTATAATAATATTTTTAGATTTACCTTAGTAATATACTTTTAAAAAAAATGTATTTTAAAGCCTTAGATATTGTTTGTCTGGCAGAATACCTACTTTGTTTGAAAAAAAAAATTGCAGTGACATTCTTCACATTGTGTTATTTCCACTGGTGTTTTTTAAAAGCTGTATATCATCACATGATTTGTTATTTTGTGCCCTTTTACTATACTTTATTTTCAATTTTGACCTTTAACTGTTTATTAGTGCGCACTGTTTCTCTCTTTCTCTCTCTTTCTCTCTCTCTCTCTCTCTCTCTCTCTCTCTCTCTCTCTCTCTCTTTCTCTCTTTTAGTTTTGTTTTAGTAGAGGTTTTATGGCGCTCGCAACTGCATAGGGTCATATGAGCGCCAGAAGATTAGAGGTGTTACAAGGGAATAACAAACTCAAAAAAAGAAGGAGGGGAGATAAAGACAATGGATTTTACGTAGGAAAGGAGAAGCAGGCCACACCAGAGCATCCGCCAACCACTCACATACATCTTTACATATATCTCACTCTCTGCTTGTGTGTGCTGTTAGTTTGTGAGCACTCTGTTGTTGTGCAATGTTTGTATCCATCATGTCTATCTACTACCGAAAGTGCAGGTGGTCGAGGGCACCACTGGCTGGCAGGTTTTTCTTCTCATTAAATCTGTTGTTTCTATACTTGTTGTCTCACTTTTTCAATGCCACTGAATGATTTTTATTGTAATTGGCTGTTTTAAAAAAGTTGTTTGTCATGACATTTTTGTGATGTTGTGCCTTATCTTTTTATGTGTGACCTTGTCTATTATAATGGAATATTATTTTTTTCTAGATCTTATGATCATGCACTCTAAATGTTAAAACAATTTTGAATTTAATAGAACCTTTATTTATTTTTCTGTTTATTTGAGTATTCATTTCCCATCTCTCTCTCTCTCTCTCTCTCTCTCTCTCTCTCTCTCTCTCTCTCTCTCT